GACATTGATGATCAGTCGTGGTGGCGACGTGCACCAGAAAGTGCGGAGCGGCGGCGCCGCACCGGGAGGGTGCATATACCAGTTGAGTAAAGAGCCAAGTAGAAAGGGACGGCGAAAGCAGGCTCCTTATCACCCCATGCCGCGCCCGCCACCCCCAATAAAAAAACAAAACACACTAATGTATATATTACATATTAATATCTATATACATATATATGTAATATTATAATATTATAGCGTATTAATATATATATATATATAATATATATATATATATATATATAATAATATATATTATAAGAGAGAGAGAGAGCAGAGAGAGAGAGGAGGAGAGAGAGAGAGAGAGAGAGAGTAAGACATCCTATGCAACTTAAGTTGATGTCGGCACCAAAGCTTCCTAGTCAGCTCATTTGTTAATATAAAAATATTTTCCAATATGCATGCAAGATTCCTAGGCAATTATGAGTGGCTAAAAAAGTTTGGTGGATAACTTTTGCTATCCAACTTAAGTTACACAGGCTTTGCTCTCTCTCTCTCTCTCTAATATATATATATCATATATATAATATATACACACACACGGCCGGATATGATAGACAAACGTGGAGATACCTCGGCGACGGTACAGCAACACACACATAAGGGGGGGGGGGGGGGGGGGGGGGGGGGGGGGGGGGGGGTATAAAATTATATATGTGTTATAGTACATATATAGATAGTGTAATATAGATATGTATATGTATATATAATTTGTATATGTATATATTAATCGTATATATATACATGTTTACGTATTATATATACCATGTAATAGTGTATAGTATATACTACATGTATGTATGTATGTATGTATGTATGTATGTATGTATTATATATAATAGTAATATACAGCAACCACACACATATACGTAGCAATGTATATGTATGTATTGTATGTAATGTATGTATAATATATAGTATATATATATATATATATATAATATATAATATACACATACAATACATACATACATACATATACATAGTATGTAGTATGTGGTGTGTGTGTATATTAATATAGTATATATGATATATAATATATTTATATAGTAGTATATATATATAATATATATAGTATAGAGGAGAGAGAGAGGAGGAGTAGAAGAAGAGAGAGAAAATATAAGTAGTGCTTGGCTACAAGCACAAATTTTGTGGCTTGGTAGTGAGGTTGACCACAAGTCCTGCGGCACTCATTTCAAATTAGGGATCACATTCATATGGGTTGAGGAGTGCATGGGATATGCAACAGCTTGAATGAGTAAGGGGATTATGCGCAGCGGCTTACTACCAAGCATACCGCATTTTTCTCAATATATATCATATATATATATATATATATAATATAGTATATATATAGTATACGTATATAATATGAGAAAATGGTTATGCTTGGTAACGCAAAACACAAAAAGTTATGGGCTTCGGTAGGGGAGATGACATATTCTGCTCGCACTGCATTGAATGCGAGACCCCACATTCAGCAGTGGTTGAGAATAGTTGAGAATTAAAATGAGTTGAGATCGAGAAATAACAACGGCTCAACTAATATAGCACAAATATTTGTGTTTGGTACGCGAAGCATACCACTTTTTTCCTCCTCTTTATCTCTCTCTCGCTGCTCTGCTAAATATATATATATATATATATATATATATATATATGATAGTATATATATATATATTAATCATAGTGAGAAAAATTGGTATGCGCTTGGTAGTAAGCCACAAGTTTTTGGCTTGGTAAGGGGAATGACCAATATTCCTCTTCCATTCAATCTGGAAATCAGGTGCCCAACATTCAGGTTTGGGTTTGGTAGTGGTTGAGAATTGGAAATGAGTGGATGAGAATAGGATACGCTTCACATACCAGCAGCAAAATATTGTGCTTGTCACGCAGAGCATCACACCATTTCTGCTGCATCTTATATAGTATATATTATGTACACACACAGCCCACACACAATATATATATATATATATATACACAGCACACACACACCACACTATGTGTGTTGTTGTATATATATATACAGCATGTATAATAAAATGGATACTGCGTTGGTAAGCCAACGCATAAAAATTATGGGCTTGGTAAGTGAGGCGACATACACATCCACTCAGATTCAAATCGGTTGTATATTCCATTGCACTCGCTCAACACCATGTGACACTGTGGTTCGCGGCCTAGTTTAAAGAGTGGAGGGGATTATGTCAGGCCTCACAACGCACGTATAAAATTTATGTTTGGTACCAAACATAGTCATATTTCTCTCTATTATATTTGTGTGTACCTCAATATATATTTGTAATGTGGGGTATACTTTATAAAATATAAATATTATATATATATATATATATATATATATATATATTATGTGTGTGTGTGTGTGTGTAGTGTGTTTGTGTACAACATAACATGCATACATACATCACAGTTAATACATAACACACACACACACACACACGTGTGTGTGTGTGTGTGCACATATATAAGAAAGTAGGTATGGTTTAGGTAGCGAGGCATAAAATTTTGGTGCTTGGTTGGTGAGGTGGCACAATTCCCTTTCACTCGATTCATTCAATGGGGAAAAACATTAGGCATGAGTTGAAGGAAGGTGCATGAGAAGCATATGTAGACATTGAAATAAGTGGAGGAGACTTAATGTCACGCCGTCAGCTACCAGTCAGCAAACTTTTTGTGTTTAGTAAGCGCGGAAGGCATACACCGTTTTTGCTGCGCTCCTTTAGTGTATATACACACAGCACAATATATTATACACTATGACAATGTATATTGGCGCACACACACACACACACACACACACACACACACCACGACAATATATATATATTATATATATATATATATATATATATATATATATATATATATATATATATATATGAGAAAAATGAGTATGCTTGGTATCAAACACAAATTTTGTGCTTGATAGTGTGGTGTCATAATCCCATCCACTCATTCTAATTCCCAACCACTCCCTAACCCATGCGACTATGAGCTCGATTTCAATCAGTGGAGGGGAATATGCCACATCACTACTAAGCACAAAAATTTGTGCTTGGTACTAAACATACCAATTTCTCTCTCTATATATATTTGTACATGTGTATATATATGTACATGTAGATATGTATATGTGTGTGTGTATATATATATGAGAAATATGGAGAACCTTGGTAGTGACGTGGATAGATTTGGCCCCTACATCACGCCTCAAAAATACAGTCTCGATCACTTTTCACCTACTCCAAAATAGAGGTTTTATTTTTGAGGATTGATGTAGGGGTCAGATTTGTCCACCTCACTACCAAGTTCAATGAAAAAACTTGGTACCAATGTTCTTCATATTTCTCTCTCTCTCTCTCTATATATATATATATATATATATATATATATATATATCTATATGTAATATCATCTATATATCTATATATGTACATATACTCTATATCTAATGTGTATATACATCTATATATGTAATATGTTATATATTTATAATATATATATATATATATATAAATATATATATATAATATATATATTATTTATATATATATATATATTATATACACATACATATATATGTAGATACATATAGACATGTATATGTAGATACATAAGATATGTATATCTATATGTATGTGTATATACATAGATATAGATACATATATCTATATCTATGTGTATATATATATATATATATATAATATAATATATAATATATATATATATATAGTATATAGTAGGAAGCGAGGAGAGAGAGAGAGAAGAGAGAAACGAGAAGAGAATAACTTGGTACTAAGTGCTCCAAACAACTTGGTAGTGATGTGGTCTAACCTTGTCCTACATCTACATTGGACGGTTGTGAAGGGTAGTTTGAGCTCTATCTTCGAGGTGTGGATGTAGAGCAAGATTAGCCACATCACTACTAAGTGTGCTTTAAGCAACTTGGTACGCAAAGTTCTCCCATATTTCTCATATATATAGTATATATATATATACTATAATATATCTGTAATATATACATATATATATATATACATATATATGTATATACATATAGATATGTATATGTACACACACATATGTATATATATATATATATGAATATATATACATATACATATATGTGCATATATGTACATATATCTGTATGTACATATATGTATACATATTTATCTATTTTTCTATAATAATTGGAGCATCCAAGATTCACTACTCATGCTACAGTAAATATTACAATAAATTCTTACTGGGGTAATATTACTGTAGCTCAAACGGGATACTATAACATTTACAAAAAAATATTACTATAGCACTTACAAAAAATTGTATTTAAATACAGAATTACTGTAGAAGAAATAAGAAAATGGAGGTTGTGCTTTGCACGGGGTGCACACTAGTATCTATATATGTGTACACACACACACACATTTATATATATATATATATATATATAGAGAGAGAGAGAGAGAGAGAGAGAGAAATGGGTATGCTTGGTACCAAGCACAAATTTTGTGCTTGGTAGTGAGGTGTCTCATTCCCATCCACTCATTCAATTGGGGGGACCACATTCAACCCATGTGAATGTGGTCCCCCATTTGAATGAGTGGAGGATAATATGCCACATCACTATCAAGCATAAATTTTGTGCTTGGTACCAAACATACCATATTCCTCATATATATATATATATATATATATTCCTTTTTTTCAGTTTTTCTAGTTATTTATGGTCTGTTTTGTTATAGTGATGGAGAGCTGCAGTGTGAATATGTCTACCTGTGGTTGTTTCAGGTTATGGAACAACAAACAGTATCAATTGCAAAGGCTGGGATCATAGCTTCTCTTAATGCTCGGACTTCAGTCTTAGCTTGTGCAAATCCAAGTGGGTCTCGTTATAACCCTCGATTATCTGTGATTGAAAACATACATCTTCCTCCAACCTTGCTTTCTAGGTGACAATCAGTACTTCCAGAATTTTTTAGTTTGTTCTCAAACATTATCATTTTAACATTGCATTCTATATGATGTCAGATTTGATTTGATTTACCTTATTCTGGATAAAGCTGATGAACAAACAGACAGGCGCCTGGCTAAGCATATTGTTGCCCTGCATTTTGAGAACCCTGAGGTTTTTCCTTAAGACCTTTTGAGTCCTATTTTATCTTTGCTTTTGTATGTAATCTAGGAAAACTAAACCGGCAAACAAATAAATGAGAGTTGTTGTCCTATAGAATAAATGGTGGACAGACACTTGAAACTCCAAGCTAGTGGTCTTAAATTGCATGGTTATCTGGTTTTTCCCTATGTTTTTAAATCCAGTGGGTTTTGGATCTTGACTTCTGTCCTTAAATTATAGGAAGATAATCAATGCACAAGCACTGTGATCATAAGTATTAATGATATATGGAATTTAATTTAGTATCATGAAAATGTGATTATGGATCTTGATGCCTAGGAATATTTGTTTTCTTTGACACAAATCATGTAATTTGAATTTTTATTGTGCACCCATTCAGACCAAAAGAAGCATGAATAACCCTCTTGAATATCCGAAAGATAGAATACATCTGAATTTCTAAATTTCCTTATCTATTAAGTACTTCCAGCTCAACCATTTGAATCCTTGTTTCCCTAAATATAGATCTTTACCAACATCTCCTCTAGTTTAAATTAAAATAAAGTACACAGTTTTTTTTTGTTATATGGGTTATTTGTAGCTCAAGTGATATTGAGTTTTTATTTGCTCTAAAATTGCTTTCATTCTAATTCCCCTGACTTTCTTCCTTTCTACTTTTTAGAATATAGTCCAGGATGTCTTGGACCTTCCTACATTGACATCATATATCAGCTACGCAAGGAAGCATATTCATCCCCGACTATCTGATGAAGCAGCTGAAGAACTGACTCGTGGTTATGTTGAAATGAGGAAAAGGGGGAACTCTCCTGGGAGCAGTAAGAAGGTACAAATAGTTACTCCTTGGAAAAATAGTATCCATAAAGTGAAATACCTAACTTTTAGTAGTTCATAAATGCAGTTCCCATATTCTTATGTGTTGTTTGTTGAAAATTTTGTGGTTTTTGGTACCTGAATCTAGCTGACATTGCACATGAAGCTTATATGAGGTTCACAGCTCAATGTACCTTGCTATTTGTTAAGTCATCCTTTGTCATGCTTAAATTAGACAGATGCCAACTATTTCTATGTTCAATTTCCCTTTAGCATTCAATAATGAATAAAGATTATGACAAACGTTCACTTGGACCTGGAAAAGTAATATGGTTAATGTAGGATTAAGTGGACTTCACCTTATGAAAGGAATATTCATCCTAAACAATGTTAATCATGTATATTTCATCTGCTTGAAACCTCATATTGAACTCTCTTGCTAGGTGATAACAGCAACAGCCAGGCAAATCGAGAGCTTGATTCGTCTCAGCGAAGCACTAGCTCGAATGCGGTTTTCGGAATTGGTAACAATAACCATCTTGCCATACTCTCTTTTGTATTTTAAATTCTGTATATAAGGTATTCCTCTTTAGGAACATGTAACTTGATATTACGAATTTTACAGGTAGAAGTACATGATGTTGAAGAGGCATTTAGACTTCTGGATGTGGCGATGCAGCAGTCAGCAACTGATCATGCCACAGGTATTATTAATAGACTCCAAATAAGAAAATTTGTGTCAGCTACTCTTCTTGCCCTCCTAGACGCTGAGGGACCTAATAAGCTTAATAATACAAGAAGTGGGCTGTCAAGATTGGCCAGCTAAATATTGAGAATTCAAAATACTTAGGTATAATAAGAAGATAGATATTGGAAAGTAGCCGCACGGATAAAACTATAGGTAGCTGAATTTTTGGATGAAGAGATAAAACGTGGTTGCAAACATGGATCCAAATTGCTTGGTGTTTTCGTGAGATAGCAATTATTTGTTCTAATGAACTTTTGACAAACACAAAAAACAGCAATAAGAATCATTTTTTATTTTCCTTCAGTAGTTAGTATTGCGGAAATAAAATTCATCAATCGTAATTGTAAGTACTACATGGACAATTTTTAGCATCTCAGGTATTGAATCATTTGTTTTTATTTGCAAGAAATCGTGAAATCCTGAATTGTTCTTTGAAATTTTCTATATTCTTGAGTGTGTTACTCTTTTCCTTTGATGGTAAAGTAACTGACACAAGTTTCTACTTTAAAGGGACAATCGACATGGATCTTATTATGACTGGAATATCAGCGAGTGAGAGGAGTAAACGTGAGAATCTAGTTGCAGCAACTCGTAACCTTATAATGGAAAAAATGCAAATAGGGGGACCCTCGACTCGCTTACAAGAGGTCAGTAACCTTGTCTACAACTTCAGTTGGTTATCTTTGCTTCAGGTGCCCATTTATTCAATGCTGTTAATAATGTAACAGTTGCTGGAGGAGCTTAGGAAACAAAGCTCAATGGACATTCACCTCAGCGATGTAAGTATCAGTTTGTCATATGACCTCACTTCGAGTGTTTTAAGTTCTATTCCTAATTCTTAGGAGATAATTAATTTGCGTACTTTTACAGCTGAGAAATGCCCTTGCTACTTTAATGAGCGAAGGTGTTGTTTCTGTGCACGGAGATAACGTTAAGAGGTTGTGATGAAGTGGAGATCTTGTTGCTGCTTCTTGGGGAAATAGTAAATATTTTTAACTTCATCGAGATAACGAAATGAAGATAGCTTTGTTGACTGATTTTCTGCTTGGTACTCAAAGCCCAACAACTGGGTTTCTAGCTGTATGATTCATGGTCTCTTTTAAGGGGCAATTCTTGTAGACTATGTGAGTGCCTAATTGCTCAAGTTAGTTGCCCTTCCATCATCATCATGTACCTTTGATTGATACAGTTGAAAATATGATTCATTGGATTGGCTCCTTTGTACTAGTTTCGCTGTAATTGAATGATTGCATGTTTTACATGTACGGAGTTAAGTTTTTGATGTGTCACAGTTACGTCAGGTTGATGTTGTCTTGTACAGTTGCACTATCTAGCCGTATGGCAGCACAAAGCGTGTTGCCTGTAATCTCATGAAAACTTTAGAGAAATGCGGCCTACATTCTATTTTAGGCATCAACATGAAATGATCACGAGAATGCTTCTTCAAGCTATTTGATTGAATTTTATGGCATATATTTATCTTTTTTCAAAAAAAAAAAGCCTTCTTTCTGATATGTGATGTTCTCTCATCTTTGTTTTCCTCGTGCAGAAACCATTCATAAGTAGAATATAGCCCTGTCAGGTTCTTGAATTGGTTCGACGAGATTCTTCCACTGACAACTAATATCCACACAGTAGTGACATGTCCCTACACAGTTTGCAACCCGATAGCCACAAGAATCGGATAGTTGATTGGTATCATGCTTGTCTATGCGTGCAATAATTTTATGTTTTAGATGATAGTAACATCCTACAACCATAGGTCCATAACCAATTGAGAAAAATCAGTAAAGAGCAAGAAAAGATATTGCTTTCTCAACATGCTCTCTTGCGTCTAAGTAAAAAACTTTATTAATAAATTCACATATTTAAACAAGAAAGCCAAAAATGAGATGGACAAAACAGGGAAAAAGAAGAAAGAAAGACCTATTATTTTCCGCCCAACTCTTTCTAATGCTGTCTACATCCTGTAACCAGAGGAGGAAATGAAAGTAGAGATGCCTCAGATATACTTAAACAAAGTCTCTGCTGAACTCCCAATTCTCACAAAGATCATGACACACTGTCCTCATCTCGAAACCACTGAAATCCTCAGAACCCAATCCGTTCTCTTTTGCTCCTTCCCATGGACTCAGCTTCTCGTTCTCAGCCTTAATCTCTGGAGTCCAATTCAGAGCCTCACTTCCAACTAAACCATTCCAATTGCTGCTATTGCTTGAGCTATCTCCATACCCACAATTCTCCGAGAAATTCAGCACACTGCCGTAATCTACAAAACCCGAGTCTGGTGCACTAAGATTTTGTTCAAATTGATTGTAGCTGTTAAGGATAGTCCCGTTTGTATCGAGGTTTGCTTGGAATTCGAATACTGGGAAGGGATCAAACACTTGTTTTGTCGGTAAACTATCTGAAGTGGGGGGCTTTTCTGCATTTGGCTCTGTATCATTTAATGGCTTGTGGGTGTTCGGGTCTATCCCTCTTTGCCTTAGTTTTTTCTTCAGACACGAGTTCCAGAAGTTTTTGATCTCATTGTCGGTTCTTCCAGGCAAATGTGATGCTATCTGAGACCACCTTTAGGTTCAAAATGGAGATGATTTAGTTGTACGATATAGAATGAGAAGAATTAGCTATAGTGAGAGAGGGTACCTATTGCCCAAGAGACCATGGAGACCAATAATGATATCCTCTTCTTCTTGTGAGAAGGTACCTCTCTTGAGGTCTGGCCTCAGATAATTTATCCACCTCAGTCTGCAACTTTTCCCACATCTCTGCAATCCTGCATTATTCACATGGAAAATATACACGGTTTCATTGAGGTAGCATAGAGAACGCAAAGAAGCGAGAAGACAGAAAAAGGAGAAAATGGCTATAGAGTAACGAGGTGTAATGCCTGCTAGCTTAGGAACAGAGCTCCAACATCCCACTCCAAATCTGATAATGTGATTGAAAAGCTTCTCGTCTTCTTCAGGAGACCAGAGCCCTTTCCTTAGCTTCTGCTTAAGGCAGCAAGAATGTCGACCCATTTCCTCGAAAGAGATCGAGGAGTCAAGAGGGTTAGAGAGGTTTTCAGACAGTTGAACGATTTAATAGGGTGATATAATGACAGAGTGGTCAAAAGAAATGTGTGCTTGAGAATCAAGTTAAGTTGAGAGTATTAGGGAGGGTTAGGAGTGACGGAGAGGGAGAGAGAGGAATAGAGGAAGGTGAAGCAATCAAGTGGGGTTTAAGCAAGTGTTTGGTGTTCTTGTACTGTAATGGATTGAGTTTCAAGGCATCAAAAGCTATAGGATGAAGGAAAATTAATCAAAATTTGGGGAGTGGGGGTTAGCAACAAAGCTAGGTTTGAGTAACTATGGAGGGATGAAGGGAATTATATAGCTCCTTTTATTATTTTTGGGTTGGTTGTGTGAAATGACATGTAAATTTGAAAGACAAGATTCTTTTTTCTGTTGCGGTTGGCGATAGTTCAAGGATAGTTCCTCTAACTAATACTTTCTTTATGAATGGCCATCTAAACTACAAATTATAAGAGTATAATTATCCCTCTACTTGGCGCGCTAACTACTACTAAATTGATATTAACTTCTCATTTTCATCTTTAAGGTTGTATTTGCTTTCTCATAACACCTAGAAATTAACCAAGGACAGAGACAATTCATGCAAGCTTCAGCTAGCCTAGAAGACGCATGATGTATTTGGTTTAGGAATTAAGGTGTTCGCATAGGGTACACAAGGAGATACATTATTAAAAATTGAAGCTGTTGCATTAATTGCAAACCTTCAACCAATTGCCTTACTATGTAGTCTAATAAATATCAGAGAAAATTCATATCGCAGATTTTATCGTCACATGAGATGCATATAAAGCTAGATATGTCTATGTTGCTTGGATAACTATGGAAACTTGCTTGGATCCCAATCCATATGCAGTGTTCACCTTGAGTTCAGATACAAAATAAGACATGCATGTCCCATTGCTTTAGTAATTTATAGGACCATGATTCAGGACTAGTACAATCTGAGACTGTCCTGGAACATACATGAAGAATCTTAGTGGATGTACCTTTGGATATGATTAAGGTTATTCCTTGTCCATTACTTATACCTATCCTTATTTAATTTCATATTATGTTAATATAATGAGGTTAGTATGGTCATTTTAAAGGAGTAAGAACAAAGATCTTGCATCCTACGTGAGCTCGACATGTCTCCTTTAGGAAGAAAACATCATGTTAGCTCGTCTTTCAAGTTAATGCTCACAAAAAGCTAGTTTCAAAAAGTGCAATAATATTCTAACGACCTAAATTTGTTATGTACAAGAATCTAAAAGTTAACAGAGTGGAGACTAGTACTCTCTGCTATCTTATACCAATCATTCATTTTCTTCTCAATTTATAGTATTTTATCATAGCTTTTTCTAATTTGGCCTCTCCACTGAAGGAAATATCCATTTAGCTTACACCAATTGGACCTTGACCTAGTCATTAATATATCATTGTTATAGGTTTTCTTAAATACTCAAATCCATATTACTTTGGGAGTTTCTTTTTTAGCTTGGTTTGTTTTGATCAAGAGTCTTACGTACATTAGACTTGATACATCCAATCATATTAGAGGTTTATTCCTACTTGGACTCTTGTTGGGGTTTAGGACACATGGACTTCAATTCCTATTAGAACTCTTATTCCTTAGATAACAAGGAACTGAGATCTTCAAGGCTATATAAGAACAGTCTTTCAAGCCAATTAGAAGCATCAATCTTCAGAGCACCAATTAAGAAGAGGGAGTTCTTTTGTGAAGCCTATTTGATATTCTTCTCTTTTGTTCCTTTAGTCGAGAGTTGTATTAGGCTTTTGGGGTGTTATTTGGGATTGAGTGATTGAGAGATTCCACTTTGTATTCCTCACAATTAGTAAAGCTTTTCTCCTCCTTCGTCCGTGGACGTAGGCTACAAGCCGAACCACGTATATCTTTGTGTTCATGTGTTCTTGATATTTTTCGTGATCTCATGTGATTGATATTAGCTTATCTTGGGGAATTTGTCATAACAAATTGGTATGAGAGCCCTCAGCTATCGATCGTACGAGAAGATGACGACAACTACTACAAAGTGAGATATCAAGAAGTTTGTCGACAACATCAGTTTCAGCCTTTGGCAAATTAGGATGATCGCTGTGTTGATATAGAGTGAATTGAAGAATGCTTTGTTGGGGAAGTCAAAGAAACCGGCTACTATGACGGAGGAAGATTGGAACGAGTTGGATGATAGAGCTCTCACAACGATCCAGTTATGTTTGACAAACGAAGTTTTGCAAGAAGTTCTCATAGAGTAAACAACCGCTGATTTGTGGTCTAAATTGGAGGATTTGTATTTGATGAAGTCGCTCACTAATCGCCTCCTAAACAACCGCTGATTTGTGGTCTAAATTGGAGGATTTGTATTTGATGAAGTCGCTCACTAATCGCCTCCTCTTGAAGCAGCGTTTGTACACACTTCTTGGAGGATTTGTATTTGATGAAGTCGCTCACTAATCGCCTCCTCTTGAAGCAGCGTTTGTACACACTTCAAATGTTATAAGGAACACCCATCAAATCTCATATTGGTGAATTTAATTTTTTGATTACAGATTTGAGTAAGATTGATGTTAAGATCGATGATGAATATCAAGCCCTATTGTTATTGTGTTCTTTGTCGCCTTCCTACAAGCACTTCAGGGATACTATGATTTACGGTCAAGATTTTATTGGTATCAAAGACGTTAAAGAGAACTTGTTGAATAAGGAGAAGATCGACAAAGAGTTTAACCATAAGTGAAAGTGGCGATAAAGCTAATGACTTGTTTGTTCGAGGAAGGTCGAAAAAACAGGCTTTGGAGGTAACAAGTATAAGTCGAAGCACAGGAACCTGATCTGCAGATATTGTAAAAGGAAAGGGCACATCAAGACCAATTGTTATAGATTGAAGAATAAAACTAAATAAGAAGAGTATGAAGAAAAATCAAAGGAGGACTCCGCTAAAATTAATATTGTTGAAGATGTGATTTTGTTGGCTACAGATGATATAAACAGGAGCATGGATGATTTAATTTTGGATTCGGGTTGTTCTAATCATATGTATTCTAATCGGGACTGGTTCACCACTAATGAAGCTATTAATGGTGGAGTTGTTCTTATGGAGAATAACGCCTCATTCATGCAAGACTGTTGGGAAAGACACAATTCGAATTTGTAGGCATCGAAAATTGCCTATAGGTCTCCACGAACAACTCAGTGTTAAGAAATGACGATGAACGTCACCATCTGGTTCATAGGAGTTCGATTGATGTCGATGAACGCTTGAAGTAAATCGACGAACTACGTGAACCAACGAAGGTACGGGCTAATCGGGATCCTCGCGATGTTTACAAAAGGAACAACGCCCTTCGTGTCTCATTCACTCTACAGATGATCCAACCATCGGAGCTGATAGAACTCCTTGTCGGCTTTCCAACACACTTCAAATCACTCAAATCCGAGTTCGGACGAAGAATTTACAGCGGAAGCGGACATATACACCATAACGGAGTGTCTCGGACCAACGAGACACCCTAGGGTGTCTCGGCCAAGGCCGAGACACCCAAGGGTGGGGTGTCTCGGATCAAGGGGAGACACCCTAGGTGTCTCGGATCAAGTGAAGACACCCTGGGGTGTCTCCAACGCAGATTTGGGCCCTTATGCGATTTTAACCGCCCGTTATCTCCTCGTGCCTATAAATAGAAGCCCCGGAGCCTCATTTTTTGAGATCTGGAATTTTGGAGATTAGGCGAAGCGCTACCGGATTGAAGACTGAAGGTGCACGAATTTCAGAGAGGAGGAGGAGGAGAGATCGGATCGAGTTCTTCAACGTAAGAGAGAGATTCGTCAGATCTACAGTTTCCTAGATCCGTTCCTTAGGATTATCCCGTTACGGTAATCTTAAGAAGAATGATTATCTCGCTTCGCCGAGATAAGAGCTACAGTTTCTCAATCCCTTCGCGGATAGACGAAGCTCTGCCTAATTTTTTCAGCAATCAGATCTGATCGACGGTGGTCCACGGATAAACCCCGGCACAGGCAAAGATCCCACGCAAGCAGAAGACCGATAAACGATCTCTGCGTTTGTTTGATAAAGTTGTAAACTTTTTTTTGTTTTCATTGTGTAAAAGTCTTATAAAAAGACTGATTTTTGTATTCGTTGTAAACGTCTGAAGTTTGTAATGAATCTCGCAATAAAACAAGCAACTTTCTCCACAAACAAATTGGCGACCACAGTGGGAGCCAACAGCTTCGCTGCCGAAGCCGTCGTGCCGCAACCGACGATCAAGATCCCGGTGCTCGAAGAGGTCGAATATGAGTTCGACCAGCAGAAGTTCGAGGAGTATGTCTCCTCCTTCTCCTCCAGATCCGCCTCTCCTTGCTGGTGCAGGAAGGCCTCCTCCTCCCAGAAGATCCGTCGGTCTCCAGATCTGAAGAACCAAGAAATCGATCTCCCCATAGCCGATGCTACAGTCGTACCTTGCAACGGTCCGCCGGCATCCAATGAGACCAGATCTGCAGATCTGAACTCCTTCACGATTAAGGAGTCGACTGCTGAAGGCGCGCCAACTCTATCAAAGAGAGCACGTCAAAGGAAACGACAACGCCTCGCGCGCCAATTCGCCAAGGCTTTGGATCAGATGGATGGACTCCGTTACCGAGCAGATCTGGAGTTCAGAAAGCGTCAAGTGGCTAATCTATCGCCACGACCGGCATCAGAATCCTCCTCTCGATCTCCAATTAACGAATGAGTTCATGTCAAAAGAACCCGTTCTACTCTCGAGGAGCGAATCCAGAAGCGCCCCGCCTTGCTTGCGCATGCCCGGACCCTTGTGCGAAAAGCACAGGAAATGCAAAAGAAAGAGGCAGTTAAGAGATCACCGAGATCCAAACAAGTTTGGGTGCCGAAGGCTAAGTCAGCGTCCCTACCCGATAAAAGACATCAGTTGTGTCTCTCGGTTGAGTCCAGATCCAAAGCTGGTTCCCAGCTTTCGTCGAGTTCAGATCTCGTTCCTTTTAATCCCGTACCTCCGGTGAAGCTCCGTAACAATATGGACATGTCCAGAGGCAGGAAAGTGATAGCAGAATGCCTGGGTCTTTTGCACGAGGATCAAGGCAAAGCACCTATTAAAGAACGCTTGGGACCATTGAAGGAACCCCGAGCAAACATCCGGACTGGGGGTCGTACGCAACCTCCTAACAAATTGATTCGAACAACGGCCCGCTTGGCGGTGCGTGTAGAAAACCAGGAGCCCATTAAGGTTTCACCCTCACAAGGG